CCCCCTTCCTGCCACCCGACCCCCCCTCCGTCTCCCGCCTCTTCTGCCCTCATCCTGCCCGCGCCCCACTCTTCCACCTGGGCCTCCGCCGTGCCACTCCCACCCCAACGCAATCCTCAACATCTCCCCGTATCATGCTACTCCCACCCCCTTCCCACCTCTCCAGGGCCGCGTCCCTCTCGATGTACTTGCGGTGCTCGTCCAGAGACGTGGCACCGATGCACTGCAGATTCGTTTCGTTGAGGCGAATGAAATAGAGGGCACAGTCTCGGAACCGTCGAGGGCGACGAGGGCGCCGAGAAAGGCCGCGCATTCCTACGCACAACAGGGTCAGACGAGGGGCTGCCTGCACCGTCTGCGGGGGTCCGAGGAGCCGCCGGGCAGAGCGACAAGCTGGTCGTACAGGCTTTGAGCGTGAGCTCAACTAGCAGGGGGCCACGCGCACGTGCTCCAGGGGTAGGCCCACCTGCAGGTCCCCCCTGGCCAGGGCCGGCTTGATGAGGTTTGAGATGTCCAGCCCGCCGCCACCGCCGCCGCCGCGGCCCACGGCGCCGGCGCCCACCAGCGTGTGGATCTCGTCGATCCTGGCGGCAGGGCGCGAGGACGCTAGCTGGGTAAACTGCAAAAACCAGCATGTTTGACGCAAAGCTACCAAGCGGCACGACGATTTAGCAGACAGCCAGCGGCCAGAGCTGAGCAAATCAGCACCCCACAGCCGCAGGGTGCTAATTTGCTGCACGATCGTCATGCTTCAGATAAGATCAGACCGGGTCAGATCGGCGCTCACATGAGCACGACGTCTCCCGCGTCGCGCGTCTCCTGCATCAGCCGCGTCACGCGGTTCTCCAGCTCGCCGCGCTCCTTGGCGCCGGCTATGAGGAGGCCCACCTGGTAGGAAAAACAGCGCAAGCAGGGGGATGACATGCACACAGGAGGGTCAACACCGCGCCAAGCAAAGCGTGAGCAATTCGTGTAGCAGCCTAGAAGTGTGGGCGACGCGCTGAGGCCTGCCTACTGCTCGCGGCTGCAAGTGGCTGCGCCACGCTTCCGCCGCCCAACAGCTCTCTGTCGCACTGGTCCCTGCCGCTGTCGGCGGCGCAGATCCGAACACACTGGTCACGCCGACCGCAGGACAATAGCCGCGCTGATCCGGTCCGACAGACGCGGTACTGAAAGCGCGAAAACACCCGCCAGGCCTCACGTCAAGCTGCATGATGCGCTTCTTCTCCAGGAACTGCGGCAGCGGGGAGCCGTCCAGCGACTGCTTGTGCACGATGGCGTAGGCCAGGCCCTCCGCGATGGCCGTCTTGCCCACGCCTGGTGGTGGGTGTGGCGCGCGGGACAGCCACCAGGGCAAGGGGGCGTAGCTTTGGCACCAGCAACGTGGCAACGCGGCCCGCCAGCCCGCGGCGCCGGCTGCATGCAGCCTTCCCCTCTGAGCACCAGTATCCAAACTTCGACAAGTTGACCTTGATATCGCTCAAGTCGACTGTCTCTGGAGTCACACCGTCTGTGCAGACTCGTGACCACCTCGCAACCCACCCGGCTCCCCCAGCAGGATGGGGTTGTTCTTGGTGCGCCGCCCCAGGATCTGCATGATGCGCGCCACCTCGCGCTCGCGGCCGATAACCTGGCAGAGCGGCGACCGCACCGTGTGGATGGTCGACCGCTAGGAGGGACCGCAGCCCTGGCCAACCATCCCCGGCACAGCACGGCTGCAGCGGCGGCGGCTGCTGCCCGACCCACCGACCTGCTGCTCGCATGGCACACAGCCCCAGGGCAGCCTGGGGCCGCTGGCCTCCGCCCAAATCACTGCCGTATCCGCCGATCCACCGCTCGCTGGCCCCGCTCTCCTGTCGCGAATCTAAAAAAAAATCCCGACTCACGGCCACCGCCGCCGACGATCTCACCCTGGCCGGCCACAAGCGCGCAGGCTCTCCCCCGCCCCCTGGAGAGAACGGCCGGATCACTCCCCGCCCTTGCCGGCTGCCCAGCCACTCACCGGGTCGACCTTGTTGGCCCTGACCTCCGCGCACAGATCACGGCAGTACTCCTCCAGCGCCTTGGGGCCCTCCTTCTCCTGGACATCAAGATTTTGGGGTCAGAAGGTCGGGGATCAGCAGGGGCGGCGGCACGACCGGGAGAGGGTCGTGCATCGGCGCGGCGGCGGCCGGAGCCGGGCGGGTGCGCGCGGCCTTGGCGCCCGCCGGGGCCGCCGCAGACCCCCGCACGATCGCCGACCGGTATGCGCCGCAGCGCAAGCCCCGGCCGTGCCAGAGTGTCGCCTGCCAAGGGGCCCGCATTCAGTGTATTCGCCAAGGCTGTGTGCGCACCGCTTTCTTCTTCTTCGGGGCGTCGACCTCGGCCTCGCCCTTGAGCCGCTTGACCGCCTCGGACCGCAGCACGTCCAGGTCAGCGCCCAAGCTGCGCGGCACACGCATGCATGTGGGCGCGGTTGTGTCGCCATCTGCAATGTGCCCGCTCGCTCCTCCACTGCTGTCGGCAGACTCGCTCGCCGCCTAGCTGCCTAACTTTTAGGCCAGCACGACCCGACGAATCAAGCAACCACACCTGCAACGGCTGGCCGTCACATGAAAGTTCCCCGCAGCAGCCTACGGATCACGGGCCCTGCTTGGGAGCATCCCGGGGTGCCCGCCCCCTCGCACCTGACCAGCACGCGGCGCCCCATGCACTCGTGCTGCCCCAGCAGCGCCAGGAGGATGTGCTCGGGGCTGATGTAAGGCACCGCGGAGCGCTTGCACTCCTGCGCGCGCCGGTGGCGTGCCCCATTGCGCAGGAGAGCAGGCGAGAGAGCGGCGCGCAGGATCAGCAGCAGGCGCCGCCAACTGCACAGTGCCCGTCGCGGCGGGGCGCGTGGCAGGCAACGGTTGCCGCCTCAGCCGCTACAGAGGCCTGGCTGCCGCCATTGCGGGCGAGCGGGCGACCCCAGCCCAGCGCCGCGGCGCCCCAGAGCAAGCTTAGCAAATGCTGCTTCACCCCACACCCCACACCCCACAACCCTGAACTGCCTCCATCCCCACAGCCATTACTGATCGTGCTCCTCAGCGCCTCCTGCCCCTCAGGCCTTCCCGCCCCTCAGCCCCCTCACGTTGGTGGCGGCCTCGAAAGTCTTGCGGACCTCCCGGCTGAAGGGGATGTTGTCGGCGTCGTCAGCGGCCCTGCGGCGCCCGCTCGTGAGGGCCTGCACCGCCGCGCGCGCCCGCTGGGTGTGTGCGATGTGGTTGTGGCGGGGGACCAAGGGGCCGGGGGGGCAGGGTTGTGAAGTTGCGGCACGAGCAGTGGTCGTCGCACCCAGGCTTCAGAACGCGGCAGGTAGCCCAGTTCGCCATCTCTGGTGAGACGCCGGCGTTCACTGCTGGTTCTACAACGCGGGCATGGTGCTTGGGGGGGCCATAAGCAACCGCTTCTGGCCAAATGCGCAGGCGCCCCCCTGGGAATCTCGCATGCAGACACGCATGGGGCGCAATGCACACACACGCTGCGCCATGGCAATCCATCGCCAGGCATACGTGGGCGAGCGAGGGTGCATGTGTGTCGCCATGCAATCGCGCTCTTTGAGGAAGCAGGCGTGCGGGCGCACGTCATCCGTGATGCCACTGTTCAGGTAGCCGTGCTTGGAGGTGGTATCCTCTGCCACGAGACCCAGGAGCACGTACTCCGAGGTGACCTTTGAAGGGGGCGGGGGCGTGTGTTCGGGATGCAAGGCCGCGTGGCGGATGGCAGGGGTGCGGGCTGTCGGATCGCCGGACGGCGGCTTTGGAGGGGGGTGGCACCCAAGCCAGCAAGTGGTATGATAGGGAATTCTGAGGCATGCAACAGAGCACATTGCACTGGGATGTGCTTTGTGGGGTGGAGCGTCCGCAAATGCCGGCCGACGCAAGTATCATCCCGCCATATCCAGCACGTCGCCAGCATCCCGCCAAAGCGTCTCACCTCCGGCGCGCCTAGCTCCTTGGCCTGCTGCTGCGCGATCATCACGCTCCTGATGCTCCGCTCCGAGAAGCGTTCGAACACAGCCCGGGTCACGATGTGCCTCCTGCCCCGCGAGCTGGCTGCAACCGTGACGGTGATGGACCCATTCCTGGCGGCCCGGCTGAGGACGCGAGACTCAGCACCGGATCGAAAGCCCTTTCCGGCCTGCATACAGCACGCCTGTATGCTGCACCGCGAGGTCACGCCGGGTCTCGTGCAGGGCACCGCCAGCACAGACGTCCGCTGCCGCAGCAGCGGGGTAGAGGTGCTCTGATGCTTCAACATGTGTGACGATGTGGGCCTCTATATGGCCCCAAAAGTGAAGTCCAGATCACGCTTGAATTTTTAATTGCTCCCCTCCGCTTTTTCAATGTTGTGTGTGAATGACAACGTCTATTCAAACACGTAGAATCAATGATTTACAAGCTGGCACCTGACTTGAACGGAGAGGGCTCTGACTGATGCTGGTGCTCTGCCGAAAGGGGCGAGAAGGACGCGCGCGTGGTCTGAAGACGTGCGTTTAAGCAAGCGATGGTGTTTGTGGCGCATGTACACGAATGAGTCCTTGACATGCTAGGTGGCGAGCGCCGCGGGCGTGGCCGACGGGCCTGCTGACCGTGCGTAGCGGCCTACTCCCTGAACAAACTGGATCACTACACCGGGG